TCCACGCATTTTTCAATCCTTATAAATGAGAAGCCGAAAGGCTTCTTTAAAACAACTCGTGGTATTAGACAAGGGGAACCCTTATCTCCTTTTCTCTTCACGATCATCTCCTGTTTTATTCACGATCATGGGGAAATCTTTAGTGTTTTGCTAACATCTGTTATGGAAAAAGGCTTGATTAGTGGTTTTCAAGTGAAGGCAAATGCACGGTGGTATCTCATCTGCAATATGATGATGATACTTTGATTTTCTGCGGGGCTTAATGATATGGAAATATCAAACTTGAAGATGTTTGTCAAAGTTTTTGAAGTGGTAATTGGCTAAAAGGTGAATTTGAAGAAAACTAGTATTATAGGGGTGGCTTGTGAGCAGAAGAAAGTAAATCAGTATGCAGATATGATTAAATGTGGTGTGGGAAGGTTCCCGATTAATGTCTTAGTTTGCCTCTTTCAGGAAGTAACAAAATTGCAGCTTTATGGGATCCTTTGATCCCAAGAATGGAATATAAATTAGATTCATAGAAGTTTAAGTTACTTTCTTGGAAGGGGAGAGTGACTTTACTAAAAGCTGCTTTGCCCGTATACTATGTGTCTGTATTTAAGATGCCTAGACTGATCATAAAAAAGTGGAAAGCATTATGCAAAGATTCCTATGGGGTGCTTTTGAGGATAGGAAGAAATTAAATTTGGTCAATTGGGAAAAAGTGTGCTCTCTGGTATGTGATAGAGGGATGGGTGTTAAGAAGCTAAAACCCTGAATAGTGCACTGCTTACTAAGTGGTGGTAGAAAAGTACTACTGAAAAAGTACAGTTATGGAGATAAATTCTGGTGGAAAAGTATGGGGAAGATCTAGAACATGGAATTGTGGCAAAAGGCACAAACAAAAAAGGTGTTTCTCTGTTATGGAAAGGTTTATCGGCTCATAGAGATTTCTTCCTTAATAATATGAGGGTTTTGATTGGGAAATGAGACACAGTGAGGTTTTGGCAAGGAAAATGGATTGGGAAATGCTCGTTGAAAGAAGCTTTCCCTAACCCATTTGCAAAAGTAAATTCTAAGAGTAAAATGGTTGGGGAAATGGTTGTTGGAAAAAGGATTTAATGCTGAATGGGATCTTAGAGTTGCCTAATAAGGGTGTCAAATGAGGTTTCAGAGGAGTTTATCCCATGCATTAGCTCATTACACCAGTTTTATTACTGCCCTGAACTGAATGATAGAGTTATTTGGGAGCCAGATAGAACTAATAAGTACTCTGTGAAATCACCTTATAATAAAATAACTATTGACGGTAATAGGTGGACTGTTGTGCAAGCGGGCAAGATGTAGAAATCGCCAATTCCGCTAAAAGTGAGAGCTTTCTTGTGGTTATTAAAACTGCAGAGACCACTGATATATTAAGAAAACAGGGCAAAATTTTAGTGAACTGCTGTATTATATGTAAAAGAAGTGAAGAAAATGTTGATCATCTATTTCTTAGTTGTAGGTATGCACGAACAGTAAGGGGGTGGGTTTTTGCTGGGCTAGGTATTTCTAGTGTATGCCTACTGCAGGTTGAAGGGTTGTTTAGGGAATTGATGGTTGCAGGTTTAAGTAAAAAGTTAGGATAATATGGAAGATCATGAAAGCAGCTATTCTATGGGAGTTGTGGAAAGAAAGGAATAGGCGTTGCTTTGAGGATACCATAAAAAAGGCTTTGAATTGATTGAAATGGTTAGGAATATGGAGGCTGAATGGTTATCAATTAGAGAAAAGTGGAGAGGTGTGTTTAGAGTAGGCTTAATGTATAATTTACATTTGCTACAGAGAAAATATTGGGAAAAAAATCAGGCTGGGGTTGTGATCACGGCCTGATGAAAGTTAGATCAAGACAAACTTTGACGGAAGTTCATTTGGAAATCCTAGACCAACGGTGATAGGAGGCATAATAGGGGTTGATGAAGGAAATCTATTGCTAATATACTATTGCCCAATGGGTAATGCTACTGCAAATGAGTTAGAATTGAAAGCGGCTTTAGGAGTGAAGCTGGTAAGAAGGTTGAATAGACATGTTATTATCGAAGGTGATTATATGAACATTGTTAATTGGATAAAAGGTGAAGCCGAGTATCCATGGAAATACTATAATACTGTATATGAATTGTTGGACTACTGTAAGGAAATTGAATATATATATAATGTGCTTAGAGAGTGTAATATGGAAGCTGACGGTCTCGCAAAAGCTGAGGTGACTGTTGTTGATATAGTGATTGTATAAAGAAAGTGATGCAAGTAGTTCTGTAATATTTCCTTTCTTTTTTTGGGGTTGTTGTAATTGAGATGTTATGACAGATGTATATGTAATAAGTGAAGATTAAGATTTGAATAAAATTGTGACTCTTTTTCAAAAAAAAAAAAGAGATAGATAGCAGTGATTAGGAGAGGAGAGAGGAAGAGTAAGGTAGCAGTAATTAGGAGAGGCAGGGTTACAAAGAAAAAGGAAAGGAGCTACCCTGATAAGATACTCATAACCGCGTAAAATATAGGTAGAGCCCTAGTTTACAAGGCAAAGCGAGAGGGAGCTTGATCATGGTACCGCAGGACTACCATAAACCCTATTTTACATCCGTAATAAATAGTCAAAGACCTGAGCCTAAATTAGTTTGTCTAGCCTACGGAAACCATGGTTAAAAGAAATTTTTTGTCTCAACATATTTAAATCAGGCGCAGGTCTTAATCGAAAAGCAAACTTATTTTTGAAACTTTTTGGATCTAAGAAATTATTAAGAATCACTGTAAGTTGTGGCTTTTTTTTTAGTGATTAGGTAAAGTATAAAGTTGAGGTCCTAAACAATTAAATTAAGACGTAACTAAAAAAATCATTAGAAGAGGCTTTTTTGATGTCGCCACCACCGCCAGGAGCAGCAGTAGCAGTAGCCACCTCTTCCTCTGCCCTTCAGTGGCTCCCTCCGCCTCTTTACCCCCCCCCCTTTCCATCCCTCTCTCTCTCTATCTCCCTCTCCCTAGGTATCGCTCCAAGCCTGGCATGTGTGATTCTCGCAGAAATGAAGGTGCTTTGATGAGGATTCGAGTTGGTGAGGCTTGGGCCCTAAGATTACAGAGGTCTAGACTTCCTTGCTTCAAGTGGTCAACAGGTGTTCCAAGCATCTTGATAGAGTAGGGTCTTCGAGCTTTTGAGATCGTTTGTGTTTTGGGAGTGTTAGTAGGGTTTCTTACCTTATTTTTTCTCATTGTAACTGTACTATTGGAGTTTTTCTCCTTATTAAGGAATACTTACTTCCAAAACCAAAAAAGGTTGACACCTTAAAAAAAATCATAGTCTCAAATTCTTAGCCAACACCAAAAAACAGAGCTGTGTAGAGAAAACCGAACACAGTACTTATTCTTGTGGACCAGCGCAAAGGTCCAACGTACAAGCCCAAAGTGGATCCTCAAATTGAAGTTTTGGTGGTCAGTATCGTACTGTTGTCACTGAGGGAGACGCAAAAGATGAATGATGGACCCCCCTCATGTGTACCAATATTTAACAGTATTACAAGCACACCAATCACCAGTATTCAGAATTGACCATATGTCAGTAAAAGAACGCCTCTCTTCCCCTCTCCCTCTCATGGTTACTGAAGGAACCTCTCTCTCTCTCTCTCTCTCTCTCTCTCTCTCTCTC